CCTTGATAATATTCTTAATTCTCTTTAAGGCCTAATGACTCAAGTTTAATCTTCATAGAAACTACATAATGCAGGGTTAATGTGTTTCTCGTTGAAAGTCATTTTTCAAGGACAATTTTGCTTTTTTATCCTTTTCCATTATTTTCCTTTCGCAAAGTTGTCAACTTACAGGTTTATTTCTAAACCCATTCTGTTGCACCTCGTCTAAACCACAAATTCTGGTGGATTTTGTCTTATAAAAAATCATTTATTGTTTGTAGTGGCCAAGCGGTAAGGCAGGAGGGGAGTCGCTACATTTGAGATCCTTGGTTCTGTTAGTAGAACCACAAATCATGTAGTAGAACCAAGTTTTCTCAGATTAGGACTTAGAGACGAGGTCTAGTGTACACATCTGGTTCGTGTGCTCTTTGGATGAACCCGCCCGTTCGTAGAATAGTGTGACCATAAGCTACTAAGTGCCTATCTACAGGTGCAGTGTTCACTGTCCCACACCTATGCAATTCAACACAACTGAAGTTCCGAATCCGAGTTACAGGTTATTTTTCTACCTACTTGTTTTACCTTACAAAGAATATAATATGGTAACTAATTGCCATTTAATAATCATCATAACAATAAAGGAAAATAATTATATCAATAATAATAATAATAATAATAATAATAAACAAATAAGAAAATTATATTTTAGTCATGTAGGCCTACTGTATAAAAAATAAGAAATAAACGCAGGATAAATATCTTATGTAACAAGTGAGGTTAGATGGATAAAATGTGGCCTACATTAACTTAAGACTAGACCAGAAGTCTAGGCTTAACAAAGTTGTAGGTCTACTATACCCTCATTTTGAACAATTGAACTGTAGGTTGATTTTCCTCATTGTTTGTCTATTCAATAATCTGTCCTTCACAATATATCAGCATTGTCCATCCTTCTGGGGGATTAAGAGTGTTGATTGGTCAAACTGAATAATTTATAACCAATGGGTAACATTGAACAAGAGGCACCACTTTAGGCATACTGATTAGCAAGAGGTGACACTTTGGACAATGTCATTAAGGTACTTTTACTGTTAGGTTTATATCATCTTCACCAGTTAACAGTTATTGGGTCTGTTATTTACTATATTCTGGCTTCAACCTTGACCAGGCTGTATAATCTGCAGGGAAAGAGATTAACACAGTCTGTTGAGTTATAAACCTACTGTAAACAGGGAGGTAACAGAAGTTCCAACTGGGGAGACATTCAGAGTACTGTAGCATAAACCTATTGTCTGTCACACTGGATAATATAGTTTACTGGGGAGACATTCAGAGTACTGTAGCATAAACCTATTGTCTGTCACACTGGATAATATAGTTTACAGATCGCATGCTACTAAAGGTAGTACAGTGTGAGAGAATGTTGAAATTAGTGATTAATCTGTTGCTATGAATACAGTTACTTCTTGTGTAATTACTATACTATATTGTAGACAGTCTTGCCTTTCATTAGTCACTCTTAAAATTGTTTAAATGCAAGGAGAGAGTTTGTGCTGTTCTTATTTGGATTCTATATTTTTGTCATTATCTGAACAAAAAATAGTGTGAGTAAACCTTGTGAGATTTATGTTTCTTTATGATGTTAAAAACATCCATACCTGTGAAACACCGTTGTGGCTTTAATACCTTTTTAGTCAGATGTTGTTTGTGTTACTTTATGTGTTTTTGTTCATTTTTTTTACCATGAGCCTTTGAGAAATCATGATTAATGTAGCTCCAAGAAAGTTGCCTGTGTCTCTGAGAACATAAACCGTAGATTTAGACATAGAAAGCGTAACAGAATCTCAATGGCTCCAAGTTGTCGTATGACCTAGTGCCAAATTGAATGCGTACGCTGACTTGGATACGACATGGGGATTCCATGGTCCATTGAGTGCTGCATGAACTTGGAGGTTCAGCCATAATCGCACCAAGTATAGCAACGAAGCAATAATTGGCTGTAACATGTAACTTTTTCTTTTGAATTTAGAACCGTCAGTGCTTAGAGATACGATCTTTCGTTTAATTGATAGTGCTCTGAGAGAGAACTTTGATAATGACACAGAAAGTGTATTGCGGGATCTAAAATAGAAAGATCATAGGACCTGTCTAGCCCTTTTTTTTATATGCTATTTTTGTATACCTGTAGGTCACAGTTTATAGTTTTTGTAAGTAGAGAAACCCTTCTTTAAGAAACTTAAAAGATTACTGTCATAGAATCTGGAAAACCCTCAAATATTTTTCATTTAAATGGATAATGTATTAATATTTACTTCCATTGAGAAAGATCACAAAAACATACTATGTTTCCTAATGTGTAGATTTTTTAATAGAAAATTTTCTCAGCAAATAAATCATGGTATTATGTTTACAAATTAATTTTAATATATTACAAGATTTGGAATATTTTACTCTATATGAAAAATACAAAGGAAATGAAACTGGAGTTTACCAACACATATAGATGGTAGTACTACTGTACAGTAACTGGTTAAAACTATACAATCTGATCATTGAAACACTGTATATGATTTTTCAAATTGATATAAATGATGGCAATTATTCAAAATGAAGCCAAATCAAATTATCAATAAAAACCCTTTTCAATAAATCATCATCTATCAGTGATATTTTCCCACTTAACTTTGGTCTTCCATGTTGATTCTAACACTGAATAACTTGGGCATTGGTTTTTAAAGTGACATTTAATATGTGACTCATGTATAATCATTCACAAACTGCACAATGAGTGATTTTACTCGTCTGCTTTAATACTGAACCTCAAAGCAGAATGCGGTTAATGCATTTCATTAACTGTACACTGATGAAAGAGAAAACAGGAAATAGGATATTTTTCTATACTACTGTAGGTTTCTACAGTCATAAAAATTGTCTTGAGAAAATGTTTTTCATGCTCGCTTGTCCACGTTGGTCGTATCTGTCATTAATTACTATGGAAGCATGTGGTTCAATGGTTATGCGCCATGGACTTCCAAAAATTGTTTGGATTCGAATCCGATGCTGGTCACATTATTTTGTATAACCTTTCTCAATCTGAAACTGTTCAGTATAAATTAGTTGAAATTACAATACCTAGTGGTAAATTAGATACAGTACAGTATACATTACTAGCTATATTCAGAAATACACTTAAAAGGTGTACACTAGGCACACTGTACTGTATCTCAGTTGGGGTGAGAATGCTTTAAATCCTGCCCAAATGTATTTACGCCAAGCATTGAATTAACCCTTACCCAGACAAGTTAGGGTACTAGTTACCACATCTGCTGATAACTTTGTGAGGTCTCAAATCAACATGTGACCATTCAGAGCTAGTTTTGCAATGTTTTTGTTATTGCTTGGTAACTTGACTGAAAAGCCTCTCATATGTTACGCCGGGGGTACACTCCGCCTAATGTAACTTTATTTATATTCTGGCATCATAACAAGTCTGATCATAGTTTACATGACTAAGAATACCTCCAGAGAGCGATGCTATTATAGGAAATCCTACATAACTTTACACATTCATCCTTTTATGGCTTTTGACAAAATGCTAAACTCTTTGATTGATTGGGTGTGTATAACATTAACAAACAACTCACAACACTGTAGAATACATTTTACTTCGCAGTGTGTGATTACTACAGTACATCATGAAAAGTTGTGTAAACCAAATATGGATTTTTAACATATAATTATGACAATATTGAATAACATCATCGTTAAACGACACAGTACATTTTAAAGTCAATCTAGGAAAAGAAGGCATTATTATAATTTCTTAGAAAAAAAGATAGTAATATTTTTGTCACTTTCTATTGCACGTTATTCGTTTCCGAATCTACTGTACTGATGCCTCTTTCCAGAATCCTTGCACTCTGTTGACAAATTGAATGAGAATTCTACGTAATATACTTAATTTATTTCCTCATTCACAAGTAACTAATATTAGACATGTCTGTATTGTTTTATTTCTTAATTTAGATTTTGATGTGGGTTTCCTGACGTAGTTAGTTCATGCAATTTATGTATAAGCACATGTGTTCACAGGGGTATCAATATAGAAGCATGTCCTTGAAGAACTGTGGTAGTTTTGAACAGTTCGTCAATTTACAGCATTTAAGCAGCAAGGCTTGTGATAAACATTGTTCGCAGATATTAAATACATACTAAATGTATACATATTGTGGTTTAGTATAGTTCTGAGTTACCATCATATTGTGTACATGCATAGGCAACACAAGTGAGTATATTGCCCACTTACGTTTACTGTAATACTCCCAAAACCTAGCCTTGGAAATACGTGGATGGTGTCTGGTAGGGGATGGTTTTCCACCATTGTTGTGGGATTAATGTTTAGCGCCTAAAGGTATATGTGATTCAAAAGGGGCTATAATATTTCACAAAGTCATTTTTCAGGCTCTTTTGATTTTAATTAATCAAAGTTATAAATTTTTGTACATGTATTTGAAATCCAATCTCTATACTAACAGTACAGTAAATGTAGGGTGTTTTTGAACAGATAAAATAGGTACTTGAAGTTTTTTAAATCTTAACGTTTTTGATTCACTTTCTTTCTGTATTTCTTTGTACACCAAGATCTTGTATTTTAAACACAACAATAAATTTGAAGTAAATTATTTCTGCCTCCACCCTCCCACATCCTATCTCCTACTTCCCTCTTTCTCTCACCTTCCACACTTCCTCCCACCTTCAACACTCCCACCTTCCACCACTCTCCAAGAAATTCATGGGTACTATTTGACTTCACTTCCTTTTTTTTTCAAGCACATAATAATATATACCAGATGTTTTGACCACATTTAAGAAAATTTATCATGCAAAAGTTCTTGATATGAAGATCAGTCAGTCATTAATGTAAAGTTGAACTGATTCAGATTTATTGTATCTATCAACCACATAAAAATACATGAAATTTGTTTTCCTGAGTTGATTATTTTTATGTTTTTGTTTTGCAGAGGCGGGGTGGTATATCGTACGGTAGAGATGATAAAGCTGCCAAGTATGTTCGCATGTTAGGTAAGTTATGATAACTAAAAACAATTGTTCTAAACCTTTAACATGGTCCATGGAAACCTTTAACAAAACCTTTAACATGGACTAGACCAGGGCAGGCCCCAAGGGCCTGCCCCGGTCTACTCTAGGCTTGATGACAATGGTGATACAATTTGTATACAGTAGCTTGTGGTGGTGGAATTAGCATTACTCAGGGCCAGGATTAGGAAGGCTTCTACCATGACCCCCAATTTAGTGAAATTGTATTAATCCTTGCATGTTGATATAAACATCAAGATGTTTATACCATGCAATTGGACAATGTCGCACAACTGTCACATAAAATCATTTCAAATTGATGTATTTGATAGGTATATTAATTGATAATTGCCCATTTATGAGACATAAGCCAAACCTTTCTAACAGTCGTATTTGTAGCCTTTTTTTCATGTGTTAAGTTTACAGTATTCTCAAAATTGAGTACCCTTATAAATCATTCACTGTAGAATACATCCGATACACAATGCCGTCGCCAGCAATTATCCTAGTACGGTTTAAGGCAAGCAGTGGGCATGAATAATTATTTGTTATAACAATATTTGTGTGGATATTTCAAACAATTAGCAGTTTGCCTGAGTTCTGTAATTGTTAGTACAAACAAACCTACAGTAATATTAACATTTAGCAATATAATTATAAAAAGTACTTAGCCCTATTTTCATATGCTATAATTAATAGCTTGAATACAAACTAGAATGTAATAGTGCTTATTTAAAATACATCATACCAGTTTATTAATTACAATTACTGCATTTCTTTGTCATATTTTTTTCAACTTTTATTATTATTACTTTTGTTATTAAAATATTATTTTATACTGTAATTTATTATAAAAATTGTAACTTTGTGTGTTTGTTATGCTGGGTCCTATTTGAGAACAGTGCTTTGTACCAAATAGGCCCCGAGCTAAAAGAAAAATAAAAGAAATAGACCCATTTGGAAACAAGCTTTCAGCCTACAATACTGAATGGCCAATTTTTGATCGTCACTACTGTCGGTAATAATTAATTTCTACGAAAGCCAAAGTCAAACAAAATATTTTTGCGTTACGTAAGTAAGATATTCAAAATGAATTTTTTTGTCACTAATTTGTTGAAAAGCAATCTCTTGATTGATATATATATATATATGTATATATATATGTGTATATATACTGTCTCTTATACACATCTAGATGTGTATAATTTTTTAAAAACCTTTTATTATATATATTTATTTTAATTGGTTCAATATGAAATGCATTAAATGTTTTAATGTTTATGTGAGCATACTCATACCATATCAAATCACACTGATTTATTGATTGGATACATTGAATTTTATACATTTATTGATAAATTAAACAATAATATGGTTACCAACTTTTTAAAAAAAGGGTAAAAAAATTCTCTATTTTAAACATTTGTAAATTTACACTATAATGCTTTTCAATACATTTGGGGTACCACAGGTATGATATTGATTGTGATGACAATAAAGATAATGATGATAGTAATTTTGTTAAATTAAATAAATAATTTTTATTTATCAGGAAATCTGTAAACAAAACAATACATTTACTCAATTCAAAATGGGATACACATTTTTAGTTTTTCAAATTTTCCCTATCAATACATTTTTTACATACTCTCATCTTCCTGTATCATTATAAGGTATTAACATTACATCATCATAAGTTTTCAGAATTAAAAAAAAATTAATGGGAATAATTAATGACTTGCTTGTTATGTTGTATGATAAATAGAAACTCCATTTTATTACTAGATTTAAAGTAAAGGGAAATTCCCTGGAGAAAGTTAGGAAGTGAGCAGTCCTTTAATAAGCTATGAACTACTTTCTCTAAAATGTAAAATGTTAAAGTTGAGGCAATTGGACAATACTCTAGCAACCAGCAGTTTATTGATTATAATCCCTGATCTGTGACTTAAAATGATATAAAATAACACTGTTTATATTGGACTATTTGATGCTATGGTTCTTTTCAGCCCCTGTTGTTGTAGAATGATGTAAACGTGGGGCTACTATAAGCACCTCTGTATGGCACGAAGCACGTCCATAGTTAACAGTACTGTAGTTCATCACAATGATGCTGCGCGTTACTGTATCCCATAGGTTATTTTCCTACCTTTACCTTTTCTGCCTTTAACAGCTGCATCTTGTATTTCACTGCGGTGTTGCGTGATGTGTCTCCACTTTCAACATATCAATTGTACTAACATTTAATTCACTTTTGTGTATCAATGTATCTGAGGAAGTCTGGGTAACAGCACACATTCTACAGTATGTAACAATTTATTTTACGTCAATCTGGTTACAGTATTGTAGAAAGTTTACAAGGAGAAATGTATCCTGGCATTAATCAAAATTTGAATGCAGGGCTGTGCGATTAGAAGGTGTTATTTAAACTGCAATGTATTAATGCATTCTCTATGTAAGGGCATCTTAACCTTTATATAGCTATATTCCTATCTAATTGTAAATTTGTATTCATATTTTTCTAATAGGTGATATAAAAAATTCCATTAATGACATGCAGAATATTGAATTGGGCAGCAGAGTGCCATTGAAACGGAGATACTCTCTGCCAGAACGAGATGTTAAACTTTTACAAGGTAAGCTAACAATGCTCTGTCCAGATTATCACATTCTCTTTGACAAAAAAAAACAACCTGTTGTGTTCCCATATAATAATAGTCATGGTATGCCTATATATGGTCATGGTGTGATGTCATCATGGCCAAATTTGATAGTTAATTTTAGTGGTGGTTAAATTTATAATTTTTTCTAGTCCAATTTTAAACAATATCAAATGTGATTACATTTTTCATTCACTGAATATCTGCTATTTTGCATCATTTAATTGAAGTTATAAAATGAACCAACAATATAATATTATTACAGTAGTAAATGTATACATGTATGCCTATAAAAATAAATATAAAATAAATATAAATCTGTTGTTGGCATTGAGGTTGATAAAGAAGTGATAAAGACTAAATGGTGATGATGTGACTTTTGATTTGAAATAATAAATGGTGATGAATTGACTTTGGATTTGAAATAATAATAGAATGCAAACAAATAGGGAGAAAATTTCATAAGAAAAGGAGAAAAGCAGAAAAATTACAATTATAAATAGAAGAATTATTTTAAATTTTGTCTAAAATATCTTACAACAAATTGGAATAATCGGAATAGTAATTACTGTACAACAAAATTTCAATAAATATTTATTGTAAAATTGAATAAATTCATTAAAACAACTCTATACATTATCTTCAGAAATAAATTATAGATTTTTTTCTTTTTTCATGTCATCAATATATTATGTGACAAGCAAACTTCATTCCCTCAAGTACAATTTAAATAGATCCTATTAACTTCATTAACTACTCATAGTACTAATAAATCATTATCTAGAAAATTTACCATTACTGTCCATACCATATCACATTAATGCCTATATAGCCATTAGTGTCATGTGTTTGAGAATTATATATTAATTTGTATTATACGTGTACATTTATATTTATTTATTTAAACCAGTGTTTATTTTATGTATTGTTATAATTTGTCTAAAGTATCTTGTTGGATGCTATGACAATATATTAATATACAGATTTGTCTTCAGGTAATAAAAAAAACAAAACAATAAAACTATTAAATAGTTGATTCTGACTTCAATTTCAGGCCTTAATCATGATTCTAGATGTAAGGCCCTTTCTACAAGAACGCGTTCCTCCAGTCTGTGCAGAGTGCATAAATACTCGCGGAAGAGTGAGAAGAAAAGTCGACACCATGTCGCCAATAGAGAATCCATCCACCTTGATGGTCAGTATCCAGGCCAAATTAAGGTATGATAATTTTTTTCATTTGTTTTTTATTTTTTGTTTTATTTCATTTTCATCTAACACTGGGGTAGAATGGCTCTGTATCTCAATATTTAGGTGCTGCGAAAAAGGTACTCAGAATCCTGGGATTGAACAGCAATTGTCTTGGCCACAATAGGATGTACATACATGCAGTGTTAGGTAAAGATAAGTGGTTGTCATATAATTAGGTGAACTTTTGTGTCTTAGGTTTCACTACCTCTCATTTTTATTTCTTTTGACTTCTTTTATGTACCAATTTAATAGGGCATTGGGTGTGGTTCATCAACATTTTGGGTATAAGGTTAATCTGCAGAATTTCAGAATAAGTCAATATTGGTTTTATTTTTTAAGTACTTGTAAATCATGAAAAAATGGATCAGTATGTTTGCGGACTCCTGTCAAAAACTCAAGTAGGATTCTCTGTTCCACATATTTTGTTTGTCAAAGTATTTCGCCTTTTGCCCTCTACTGGTTCAAGAATTCTGGATCCCCGTTTATAAACATCAAATACTACCTAGGAACACTTGCATTGTCTATGCAATATTACAAAGTAGAGTAGAACCAAATCCATTTAACTCTGTTGCTACAGTTTGCATGTAGTGAGGGAAATAAAGTTAAATATATAATACTTAATTAATACTTTTTAATGAAAGTAATAGTAAACGATAGTAGTAAATGATAATTAGTCTATTCCTATCACTTGTTCCACACACAAATTTGCATAGTAGGCCTATTGAAGATCTGATTTAGAGGCAGGCACCAAGGTGCCGTGTTGTACCAGCAGAGATTCTAACAGAGCAGATCAGATTTACAAATAAACCTTAATAAAATAAATTCATAAGGTATTATTCTCAGTTGTTATGGCAACAACAGTTGCTATTATATATTGGAACTATAATTGAAAGATCTTCAGTGGAAAGTAATTGTATTTCTATAGGATGGTAAATTTACTTGACATGTCAAACTCATTGTCCCTTTTTTCAATACTCTCGACTCTTTACCCCAGAAAGACAAACACTATGATAAATGACTAATTTATCTTTGTGTTGTATAGTACTTGAATCATCTATTTGTGTCCATGGTCAGTATATAGATTAGGTATGGAATGCCTAATTTTATGCTAGGCTGACCTCATCATAACTATTGTCAGTGTCCACAGTGTTTTTGTGTCCTGGCTGTGGGTCAACATGGCACAGTAAGCCTGCATGTCTAAGCCCAGCAAAGCCTCACCATAGAGCTGATAACTGACACCTACCAATGGTCATTGAAGCTACAGTCAAATCATGCCAAATCCTCTGCAAACAACATATTGTAGAGACTACAGACCACAAATCAATCTCACCTAAATTTGACCTCAAATCAAAGTCCATTTTTTGATTGGTTTCTTGATTGTAATATCCTGCTGAATTGTACAGTATCCGGCCACTGATTGACAAACATATTTTTTTTAAAACTTATAACTGGCCCTGAAATTAAAGTTAAATTAATCTCTAAAAGAATAAAGAAAGGTACCAAATCCAATTTAGTTACAGTACATCAAATGTTTGGTACCTAACATGTTTTGGTTTACTTTGCATTATATTCTATATTTCCAATTCTTTTTTCTCAGGTATTTCATATTATCTATCATATCAATGTAATTCAAACATATTTTATAATGTTACCAAAGTACTTTGCAAATGGGTTTTACCTCAAAAGCCATTATTCAAAATGATTAGAGATAGAAGAAAAAAAGAATGTACACCATCTTTCTAAAATTTCAATTTTACAGTGTAGCATACTGTACAGAAGTAATAGACAAAAGAATATTAACTAATATTGTACTTCATACACCTCATAAATATAGGGATTTCATGCTGAAATTTTTGATTTTTGGAAGGTCAATGGATCAACATCATCATCTTGCAGTTCAATTGATTCTTTAACTTTGCATTCCTTCAAAAATTTGATTTAACATAAAAACTTTTCTTCTTGCTACTTGTGTTTTATAATTTTCATTAATTTTGTATATAATTTATTTATTTTATTTTATATTTTAAACATGTTTTAAAGTGGACCTTAAGGAAGAACAATGTCATGATTAAGTATCCAGAGTAAAGAAAGATTTCTAGATCCATCTATCTATCAATCACCACCATTGTAGTCATCATGATCATCATCAGCGTTGTCATCGCCATAATTGTGGTCATCATGATCATCAGCGTCATCATCATCATCATGTTCTTCATCATCATCATCATCATCAATAATCATCTATCATCATCATCATCACTTATCATCATTATGTTCTACATCATCAACATTATCATCTACACATCGATCATCTTTCACATTTTAATGTCTGTTTCTCCCATGCTGGCATTGGTTAGAAAAAGTCACATGATGGCACTCGTCCTCTGCAGTCTATCCTGGGCCGGATCATGGTGATTAGCTTTATTGCAGCTTCATTTTCAGATCACCTTTGTACCCCTCTTCATTAAAACACTGGAATACACAGAGATGCATCCAGACTTACTATAGAATAATCAACTTTATCAACGTTGGTTATGCTGGATACATGGTAGTATATCATTGTTTTCAATACAGGATATAGTCTTCCTGTCTTGCATTGTAAAGTTTTACAATCATTGTTTAAAACCACACATATTTAGTCCTCCTGTTAGCCAAAGGTCATGGCTATATTATTCTATCTGTCACTGCAGATCAAAGTTACATATTGATGGTACAGTACTTTATGACAAATTACTAATACTATACTGGTCCTTCTCTTTTCAATATTTTATCTGTTAATGTTGGTTGATCCATTCATTCATTAAGAAGACGGGGTGATATATTTTTTTTTTGTTACAGTTTGGTTCATTAACCGAAATGAATAGTTGAGCCGACCACTCAGCCTAGAAAATCCAAGATAATGCGTAATGGATGATTGGCTGGCCTACTGTAGATCTCTCACGTTTTATGCTCTCAGCAGTAGCTGATATTTTAATAAAAAAAGAAGTTTTAATTTTAAGGTCTTTACTATTTGAAGACCAAATGAAACTTAGTTAGTGGAAACTCCAATAGTAACTATGTTACCCAGAAAGATGACCATTAAAATTTTATGAAGCAATCCATTATATTTAATTTAAATATTAAGTATTTATTTTCTCATGCTTGCTGGGCCATGTATTATAAATGAGGCTCTGAGAAAAACTATTGTTTGTCTTGACGTTTTAGTAAGATTGCTGTGACCACCATGCTTCAGTCACTCTTGCTTATTGAAAAGGATGCTCTTATTATAAGTGGGAGATAATAATTACCATATAAGTACAGTAATTATTACTACTCTGATTTATCAAAAACTGTTCATAATGATATCAAATAATAGACTTATACCTGTCTCTTATACACATCTAGATGTGTATAAGAGACAGATTACGCTTTAATCCACAAGTGGTGTATCTAGAGGGGGGTGGGGGTGGGTGGGGGGTAGGGGGGGGGGGGGGGGGGTGGGTGGAGAGGCGCACACCCTCAAGGAAGCTTGCGTCTTCCCCGGAAATGTTTTCAGCAAAATAATTACGCTCAAGTAGCTAAAAATCACCTTATTTTGCGAGCTAGCTCCCCCCTTACTTAATCATTGAACACCTACTTCCACGTCCCCAATTAGTGTCACTTTAAGCCATTGTTCTTAAAGTACTGTACACTGCAGTATTTAAAATGGGGTCTACTGAGTATTGTTGGCGCTGCACATAGGCCCACACCCTGAGGCCTCATTCAAATTTCCTTGCTTTCAGCATGCAATGGTAGTGTTGAGTTCAGTTTAGAGCTATGCTTTTGCTACAGTATGCTTTTGTTATGTAACTGTAATTTGGATAGTTTCCAAAGTTGACTTTCTTTTTCCTATGTCAGACAGTTATTCATCAATCCAACTTGATTCTGAGAATTAAAGGTAAGATATGGGTCACGCAGAATTATATAATTTTAAACAGAAAGTCCCTCAATAGAATTCAACCAAGATGTTGGACATGCTACAATCGAGAGTTTTAAAGCTGTGAAAGGTTAAATATGTGATTATCTATCATATTGTTTTTTCTGTCACTTCTTTATCTTGTTAGTAGTTGATTAAAATAAAACCATACTGGAGTTGGAATCTACCTACTATATAGGCAATAGTTTTGTACTAAAGGCCAGAAATCTGTCCTTGATACCCATTTTTCTTTTGTTATTGATTCAGTTTCCACAGACAAATATCAGAATATGTTTGTGCCTATGACTTCTACCAATTTACAGTGTGAAAATTCTCTGCTTTCCATAGCAGTATCTCATCCCAAGTACAAACCATAGTTGTATCATACCATCTTATCTAAGCAATTTATTTCTAAAATTTGCTTAAACATTGTAAGGTAGAAACAAGTATGTAGTCTACTATAGTATACCATTCTTTATACATTCTTGACTGTACCATCTACAAAGCCTGCACTTGGCACGTTACAGAGCGTGTATTCGATGGAATAATCTTGATAGAATAACTGTTAAAGTACAACATCTACATTATTTATTGTTTGATGATAGCAAATCTGTATGTCATGAATATCCTATACAAATGTTAAGTACTATTCTTTGATTTCATCATCAGCAGTAAAATGCTTTCATAAAATCAAGTAAAACTGGAATTCGTAAAACAGATGTTTAATTGTATTTCAGGTTCTCATAAAATCTCTTGGTTTTCAACATTTTATGGTGATGACGACAATGTTGAGTTTAAAAAAAAAACCTATTTCCTATGGAGAGTCATAAAATATTAAAATTCAGAAATTTCACTTTTCAATATAAAAATGATGATTTAAAAAAAAAAATCACAAAAACAGGCAGTTTCCTCCTATGAAAATATTAGGTATGGTCGACTTAAAATGTGATGAAAATGAAAGAAGTGATACTAATTTTGTTGTGAAATTAAACTAAACAAAAGACTTCAGGAAAGACCAAATGAAACTTAGTTACTGGAAACTCCAATAGTAACTATGTTACCCAGAAAGATGACCATTAAAATTTTATGAAGCAATCCATTATATTTAATTTAAATATTAAGTATTTATTTTCTCATGCTTGCTGGGCCATGTATTATAAATGAGGCTCTGAGAAAAACTATTGTTTGTTGTCTTGACGTTTTAGTAAGATTGCTGTGACCACCATGCTTCAGTCACTCTTGCTTATTGAAAAGGATGCTCTTATTATAAGTGGGAGATAATAATTACCATATAAGTACAGTAATTATTACTACTCTGATTTATCAAAAACTGTTCATAATGATATCAAATAATAGACTTATACTGTAAAATATTATATAATAAACATAAAATATTATTTTTTCTTAGTATTAAAAATAGTATAACTAAATGGAACGTGACAATAGTATTTAATGTTTATCTAATTGAATATAGAATTTCTCCTGCCATCAAATATTATTTAACAAATTTAATCAAATGAAAAATTAAATAATTATTTTTAAAATGATTTTGTTCATTATTTTCATTCCTTTGTCTTGATTATTGATTTCACAGTGTATGCCACATGAGTTATTTATTTAATAATCACTGTAAGGAATTCAAATTATATACGGTTATCTGCTTCAGAACTTTTAAACAAAATATAATAATTCAATTGTTTTTCACTGAATCAGCCAGTCAGAAAATGTCTGCATTCTGTAATGATTGACAGTTCACAAATTTTTACATTTCTTTGAAACAAAATTATGACTTGGTTTTTTTTTTTGCTTTACTTTTTTTAAATGCTACTTTTACAGTTGTTTTCTTGGCAAATGATGATGATTAATGTAGCCTAATGTTTTAAGACATTTTATATGCTGCTACTCAACAGTTCTGTACAACACTATTCTCTTGGGAAGACGTTTGTTTTATAGAATGAGAAATTATGGTGTATGAATGCTAAGTACTGCACAGTTCACGACAGTTCACTTGCGTGCAGTGGTGCAGTGTTACAGTATGTATGTTACTACGGTACACTTTTCTACCATACTGTAGTACTGTCTGTAGCTACCGAAATTCAGTTCTGCTTGGTACCAACTGCATAGTACTATTACTGTACACATTATTCTACTAATATACTGTATTTCATGTAAATGTATACTACAAGTAATAACTTTACAATTACATTACTATAATGTTACAGCAATTTTACTGTGAATACACAAACGTTTATACAGTATGTGGATATTTTAGTGAAAACATTTTAAGCTGACTTGCCAGATTTGTGGAGCAAACCACAGATCCCAAGGATGGCAAAACGGGCACTTGTTTTTGCTGCCCTCCCAGTTGCAGCCAAAATTCTCCATAGACATACTTCTCCTGGATCCCTATAATAGGAGCACACTCAATCCATTTCCTTTCAGACCATAGCTCACCTTTCCCAACCGATCATAGGCCCTCAGTTGCTCTTCTTATCTTTTTTTCATAATTTTATTTTTATCTTTTCCAGAAACTGGTTTCCAATAATATAGGACGATGGGACTTTGATATATTTCACTTAGAACAGATAACAGCAGGTAAGAAATATAATTACGGTATTATTCATTGCTTAACAACATTAACACCTGTGTAATTAGCATTGACTTTTTCATCTGATGGTTGCCCGGCAATGTGACACATGTATTCTTTACAGATGGCAAATTGAAGAAAATATTAATAGACGTTGTAGGAAAATAGGTAGCATTGTGACATAGGCTTTGAAAAGTGTGGAGTTTGTGATCAATTGTGTATTTTTTAATTAATTTTGTTTTTGCAATGTTGCATTACCATACTATTTTAATGCATTGTTGTTTTGCCAGTGTAAAGAGAGATTATGTATGTATTATGGTGCATTACTGACTGTTTATCATATTGTATCACCAACGCAACTCTTTTTGTGTCAATTACGTTTTTGCTTCTGTAGGCCTGTAGTACTTGCACATAATTAGGTGGCAGGTCACACTTTGAAAACAGGGAATGTGCTATCACTGCACTTTTGATGTACGTCTACGTTGAAATATAGTATGCGAGTCGAATGGCTGAGCGGTTAAGGCAGGGGCCCTGTCCTCATATCATCGCTTGTTTGAACAACACGCTCGCCTATGGCTCTGGAGGTGAAGTAATTCTTCTCAGATAAGGAATATAAACTGTAGGCCCAGTGTACATAATTGCCCCATGTGCACTAATAAGACCCTGACTGTACATCTTTCGAGATGTGTAGGCATTCACCCTGGTGTACTGGTCTATCTCAGAGGTCCTGCCCTCATCCAGTACGATAATACACCGACAGGTGTACCAGAATGGAAGAAGAAGAACTAGATGAATTGCAGTTATAGAATTTGCTCATTGCTTGTAGAGTACAACACTAATAACTGTGTCAAGTGAAGAGAGTTACGTTAATACATTAGTTAGTTTTTACCTCAAAAAATTGGCTTACTTCAGGTAAATTATATAATTTATTTGTACTTTTAATGTAGGAAGTGGAATTCTTTCCTACTAATTATTCTTTACTAGTAAGTATGGAGTCAGTTATTCTTATTACTACGCAAGTTCTGACGAAATAAACCTATGAGCTTCAAGTATTAGTCTGCTAATATCGAAAGGCTATTGTAGTTCCCTTGAAGACGCTTATAGTTTTTAGATTCTTTATTGAACTTGAATGATTTTCTTCTAGGAATCCTCCTGAGTAGTGTGCTACTTCCGCGTAATTATGGTATGTAAAGAATGTTCGCTCAGACTATGCCTCATGTAGATGTACTTCTCAGCTATGCCTCGTGTAGACGTACTTCTCAGCTCACAGCTAAACATGACCTTGATTTTCTGAATAATAATTACTTACAAATGAGTGCAGAAGCAGCATTTCCTGTGATGTGTTACAGTACTGTTTTGTAACCATAATGTTTTCATATTCATGGAAAATATAAAGAATTCAGGAAAAATAGTAATTTGGGAGACAAGGATAGTGGTGCTTACCTATATTCCTTCCAAGAAGTGTTTTACATCTTTACTGAAGTTTCTTCTGAGCTTTGAATCAGATCACGTTTAAAAAAAAATACATTGTTCTTGGTAAAGCATAACATTGACGTACTATGGTAGATTAATTTTAAATTTCCTTCCAACAGAACATCTGAACATTGTCTATTACAATTACAGTATATGCAATACATTTTTCATTCATACAGTATGACTTGTGGAACAATATTGATGAGACCACAAAGAATAGTGCCACTCTTAAAATTTAAAAAAAGTTAATTTCAACATAATTTTTTAAGTGTACAGTTTTTTGGGTTTTTTTTCGGTTTTTTGTTTTTTTTTTGGTAGTATCTTTGTTTCTTCCTTATCCATTATTTGTATTTGTAAGTAGTTCTTGCTTGATTTCATGATCTGATACCATATGTTAAAGGCACATATACGACCTCGTGGAAGAACACCTCCTTGGTGAACGAGCTTCCGTTGTAAAAGAAAGATCTTATTGTTATTATTATTATATCATGTTTTGAACATGTCCTGCTGTTATTTTGTTGTTATTTTCTTACTATATTACCGGTATTGATTATTGTACAGTAGTTACTCTAAGGCTGTTGATTTGCATGTTTTTTATAGTTTTATTTTACTGTATCGTTTCAGTTGTAGTTTTTTTGTTACCAGTTTTGTATAATGCTGTACATTTAAACTACTGTACAGTGCCTGTATATCAATTCACAGTTTGTGTCCTGTCGTATTAGGGAGACAATAGAGTCATGCTCAAATATGTTATTTTCTGTTTCATGTACAGCAAGTCCCCACTTTGTTCTTTCATTGTAATCACTACTTCATAAAAAAGGAGTCCATAAATAACACTTCAAGTGAAGACTTACTGTATTATTGTAGAATTCTGGTACAATCATCTGTGATTGACACTTGCTCAAATTGAATAAGACCGTACTAGTGCATACTGCTCCTGTACACAGAGTACACCTTGTACGTTCATTTTTTTCGGAGAACTTTACAAATCACAGACATGGTCTATTAATATATTCTACCTTGACAGCTAGTCTTAAGTGTATCAAAATCGATTCACCCTCACAAGGGAGAACTTGTTTTGATCCAGAATATTATCGCTCCTCAATTGGGAGGCAATGTATTTTAAGACCGAAAAGCTTAAAATATCAGGGCGCACTGAAAATAGCCTGACAGGTTTGAGAGGAAACTAGCCGTGTCTTCAGAGATTTCTCTGTGGTTTTGGGCATCTGCTCTCAGGCTGCCTAAGTTCAGATTTGCTACTAAACAGGGAAAGATGTATAATTGGGGATTGTCTGACTTTAATTCTTTAGGTACTAGATATTATAATGTTGGCTTAGGCCTATATCTTTAAATTTGCTTGGTTATGACATGCATCTGTGTCTATATGGAGAAATATTTAATACAGTATTATCTAGGCCTGTATTGTAAAGATTTACTTTGCATAGGAAACTACGCCACATGGGTGTCTTAATTTTTGATACTTTATTTAAATTGCTTTTTATAAGTTTAGTGGTTCCATTTAATGTATACAATGTGATTCCTGCCTCCACTCAATTGATATATTTGTTATAGTAGGACAGTGCTATATTGATCCTCTGTACAAAATGATGTCTTAACTCTTAGTTTTACAGCCATTAATGTGATCATGTGTGTCCATGGTTGTTGGTTCTCTCCAATCAAAACATAAGTTTAGTGAAAATGAAATGTTACAAACATTAGAAGTGAGCAGCAGAGTAAATACATATAAGACGACACTTCCCCCACCCCCGGTTTCATTGTCGGAATTCCAATGTTTTTCTGCTTTTTATAGTCTTGATACCTGTATCTTACTAGCTGAAAACAGAGCCAAATAGTGTACGGTAAGAATGGCCCCGGAAAAAATGGCATACTGTACATGAACTTGTGATTCAAACACACAATTGATCCACATGCTTTAACTACTGTTTATTTGCACTGTTTATAACATGTAAAGTTATTTCATTTGATACTTAACAAAAGTGAATTTTGTGGTTATCTATGAGTTGCATATTTTGGTAGTTGAAGTACTGTATGTATGTCATTCCTCTACTTTGTTGTGGAATAACATTTTTAAAACTTATTTCTACTATCAAAAAAATGTTATTCAATGGCCATTGTTTTCTGATAATCTCTCAGTACATTATTTGCATCTGTTGTGAAACTGTTTTTGTTATTGATTCTATTCTTGCTTAATACAGTATTTAAATATTTGAAGATTTAAAAAAAAATATCATTTCTATTACTGAATTTTTTCATTGGGGCCATTTTTACCTTCTTGTCATTTAGGGTCATTTTTACTGGGGCCATTTTTACCGGGGCCATTTTTTCCAGGGCCATTTTTTCCGGGGCCATTTTTACCTACATTCGAGCCAAATAATGCAAGGCTAATCTTTATGAGTTCATCAAAATCTTATTTCTCCGCATTCTAAATTGCATTCATTCCTACTAACATTTAGCTTCATTACAGTAGTAAATTTGTGTGTTATGACCGCCATCACAAAGACGAACATGATTTAATAAATCAAAAATTTGTATGTTGTGCGTATAAGGCGACCCCCTGTTTTTCGGTCATAATTTGCTAGTTTAAGCCTCGTCTTATAATTATGCAAGAATATACTGTATGGTATGTTGACCTTGAGTAACCTTGTCAATGACAGTAGGGCTGCCTTCTCATCCTTAGTAAATTAAAAGCATGGGCCAGTACACAGACAGCAGTCTACTATGTCCCTTATTAGCCATCATCACACAGTAGACTAGTGTCTTAATATACATCAAGAGATAGACATAGCCCTGACCCCTGTCAGGGCTATGATAATATGCACAAGCTCAGCTCAGCCTAAAATTGTAGCTGTGGGTAGTTCCTGAGTAGACTAGTGTCAGCTGTGCTACTAAGTGCATCTTATTTAAGGAACAACTCAACCCTGACCTTGCATCCAGAGATTTGATGACAAGGAGTCCAAAAAATATCTGAAAAAAAATAAAACCAGATTTCTAGTCAAATTATTTATATTATCTGTGAAAAATTGTTTGGCTGGTAACATGGACTACCAGTTCTTTTTCTTAAATATCCTTTTTGTTGTTTCTATCATTTTTATGTTTGAAAATGTAATAAAGAGATTGAAGAAAGAGATTTCCAAACGACAACACTTTTGCCTTTCCCCCCCCTTTCAGGTAATACCATAATGAAGAGGTTCTAATGACAGCATTTCATTTTCTTTTTTTTTAAAGATACATTTATTTTGTCTTCACAGGCCATCCATTAGAACCAGTAGTAATGGAATTATTCCAAAAATATGACCTAATTAGAACATTTCGTCTGGATTCATTACAATTGCGTCGTTGTATAGGTAAGTGTGAACAACATTTTTATATGTGTTACTTTCTACAAAAATATTTCAACAAGTGCTTTACATTGCACTGCACTGCAAGCAAGCACTTCCCCAGATATATGATGATAATATTGTTTTTACTAACAAGATTAAAACTAACAATTTATACAGAAAGGAATTATCAGAAATGTATACTGTACTTTAGTGTAATATTTTTTAATTAAGAAAAATACCGGTAATTACAAAAAAAATCTACATTATTACAAGAATATTTCTGTTACATTTATGAATGTTTAGGTTAGTCGCACTGCCCGTTTGCTAATTTCACATCGTTCGTTGACCACATTAGGCTAACTTTTTTAATTGCGTCAATTAATGACCTACAGTACGTGTTTTGAAGGCCTAAGATTAGTTGACATGAATTTGGATGCCTTTAAATTCCGTCCCCTGATACTTATAGTCGTCGATGTTATCCGTCTCGGTGAAAATATTGAATGCTGAAGATGACTGGTCAGATGATAACGATTTCAAACACTTTGCAAATTGCGTGATTACAAAAACCTGGGTGAATTAGTTTATTTTAGAATAACAGATAACTGGACGTGTTCTCATGTAGCCTGAAGTTGCAACACTGCAGAATTGGTAGAATAACAGATTTTTTCTTTAAACTGTAGTTTGGTTGTGGATTTTCTTTTTTTTAAACTGTTATTAACATTTTAAACCTGTACATTCCTTTAAAGTTAAGTATTTAGAATACTAGTGATAGAGTCTTTAATAAAATTATTTACCAAAGGCTAAATATTAATAATAATAATAATAATAATAATAATAATAATAATAATAATAATATTTATTTATGTAGCACATTTTTAGATTTACATCTGTTCAGTGCACTGTACATAAAATGATGATAAAATGCAATTTAAAATAGTCAAAATGGTGCAATGAAGTTGCAAAAATATTATATAGAAAGACTACAAAAACATATACTTTATTATTAGTTACATCATTAAAATGAAAAAAGAAGATAAATATAATTTATTACCTTACAAACCATTATATACAATTATTCAAAAATTATTATAATTCAATTCAGTACAATAGGCCTACAAATCAACTAAAAAATTAAATTCAATACTGTATCTACAATGTGGAAATACGATATCTATTGGATGGAAAGATAAAATTATGCAGTAATTATTATAATTTACATCATTGAAATTAATTGAAAAAAAAAATTCAAAGACCCTTAAAAAATTAAAAGGATACATACCTTTTTAATTAAAAAAAAAAGTATCACAACCACTAATAAAATAACCTACATGATTTAAGTGATTATGATGAATAAACATGAATGAAGATTATTTAAAAGTAGTGCTTCAATAGATTATGAAAATTACTTCCCATCCTACAAAAATATTAGTTGTAAGAATAGATAACAACACAGAGATCCAGACTGAAGGTACAAACATGCTCCTTCAAACACCTGTCATAGACGGATTCTATGAAGCGCTGACCTACTTTACACATCAGTATTTGATGGTCATTCTCATTTTGTTCTACTTCATTGGGTTCAAACAAGTGAATTTCCTCTCAACTCAAAAAAAAAATTAACACGCATGCATAAATATTTCCAACACATCCGATCGCATTTTTACGAGTTAGGTCTTCTTTCCAGACATTGTTTATGCGCTTCATTTAATATTCTGTATGCTGTGCTGCTGACTCAGATTGATTATGAAAAATAAGTTTCACCTTATTGTGGTTGGAATGTAGAGACTAGTGTTCTCTTTGTTTAACCAGTGAATTCTGTACTAAAATAATAATCATATACAATATGCTATGAAATTGAATGTAAATCATATCATAAATATAGTACTATGTTTAATGGTTCTATATTCCTATCCCAGCATTAAAACATGAAGTCCCTTTGAACTGCGGATAGTTGCTATTGAAAAAATCGAAAATAATTTAAATAATTAATAATTAATGACAGATTAACTAATCAAGTATGCATGTCCATATTAATTGATCAACATACTGTAAGCACTCTTTAATCTGAATAGCACACTTAGTACTGTTCAACTTTTTATTTGGAAACATTCAAATTGGTAATAAATTATTTTGGTAAAATCATTTTAACATTAAAATTTGCATTGCACTTGTAAATTTGCATATTTTACATATCTAGCCATAGAAAAACACTAAGAAAAATGGTGATTGTAATTTCAGTTAATCTTACCATGTGACAGGATATTTTTGTGATTGCCTTGAATGGCAAATTATCTGCTGTAACTGTAGGCAGCGTGAGGTCATTACTTGTGTTAACGTCATAGCATTTGTCTGATTTTTGATTTGATAAGTTTTGATAAGACTCAGAGGTAAAGGATATGAACGTGTGTGACATTGATCAATACATATGAGGGTACCATTTACTACAATTATTAGCAAAGAATATAAAACAACTTTATGTTTCCCAAGCCTGACCTACTCAAAATCTTTAAAATCTTGTGGCAGCTTCATTTTTTTTTTCTGTTTTGCAAATCCTTTTACCACGAAGAAGCTCGAAATTGTATGATCTTTTAAAGGGCCACTTTCCAAGTGTTAATACATTAACCATGGATTTTATCCCTGTGGTTACCATTTTATAAACCAAAAAGGTATGGTGAGTGTTCCATGGCAATTTATCTTGAACTTAGGGCAGATTTATAAACTAAAATTTAATTGTTTTGGTCCATTTCTCATTGTAAGTTACAAGTATGTTAACTTATTGTATTTAAAGGTCACCCTCTATAAATATGGTTTACAGAAAAAAAAATCTTTAAATACATGATTAAAATGAAATACCCTTTTATTTTACACTCCTGATATGAGGGAAAATTCAGCATGAGACCACTGCTATGTTGTGTCCATGTGAATGCCCGTCTGTGTAAGAAAAGCATGCATCCCATATAATTTTCACATTAAAAAAACTGATATTGCCGAGACATCACTCATAATATATTTAACATAGATATGTGCATGGTGACAAGGTGAAATGTACTAATCTTTCACTGTCTGCATATTATACAAACTTAGCATAGTTTTAACTTACATTTCATGATTACACCTAAAATACATTGCATTATACATTTTTTTTAAATTCATTTGATTTATTTCTCTGGACCAATAATGAAATGAAAGATTGTAGAAAATTATGTTTTGTTGGAATGTATACACAAAATTAGAAATTAGAAATTAGGTTTTTGTGATTTTTTTCCCCACTAGTACAAGCATTACTACTAGCCAAAGACTATATTCATCACAAATTATAATACATGACAAAAATATGCAAATAAAAGCACAATTTTGGATAGCACTTTTGTAAAGCAATATTTTTTTAGTAATGCCGTGTAATTTGAATTGGTACGTTCAACTTAAATACTGTACCATAATGGTAGTATAGATATATTTTATTGTAATTATGTATACATTTGGTTTTTGTCCCCAAAAAAATATGATACAACCTTGCATTCTAGTAAGTATTTTAAAGTATTAAATTCATATTTGATGTTTGAGGATGTGGTATTATACCATAATACTTGTAAGTCTGAAATCCTCATTAATGCTAATACATTCAATGTCAAGTTCTGTATAAGTATTTTATATGTTTCTATGGTGATGACACCATATTCCTAGGCAGTGTTCAATGTAATTATGGGGAAATATTTCATTTTGGGTAGACCTGTAGACATTTTAATGTAGCTTACATACACATTCATTGAAAACATTAATTGTTGGTTAATTCATTATGTATGATAGATAGTTCATCCAAGAACTGTTAAAAATTGTTTTTATTATTGATGTTATAATTTTATTACTGATATTTATTTACTACAAGTATGATTGTGGTTGTTTATCGATAAAAATATTGTTATTTTCTTAATACTTTTTTATTTTGTTGCTATAAATAAATAATTCGTTGAAGCATCATAATTGTATATGACAGTGTACTTACTTATATATTCTTTATTTTTCTTATAGGATTAATTCATAAGGGGTACTATAACGTTAACCCATATCACAATGCCACACATGCAGCAGATGTGACTCAAGCAATGCATTGTTATATTCATGATCAAAAGGTAAGTGGGTACATACATGCGTTTCAGTACTGTATATAAACTCAAATTGCATTTAAAATCGAACGCATAAAATATATTTATTGTTTTATTAAGAACAAAACAAATAATACTGTACAGTTTACATTAGAAATTTGGCATACAGTTATGTAAATATAAGTACCTGGGAAGATACAGACACAGATTAGGGCAAACTGTCATTAGCAATGATTTTGCTTTGCCTATTTCATTATTACTATAATTTCTTGTTAATATTAGTTGGGTATTCACTAATAATATAAATTACCGGTACTATTTTATTTTCACAATTCAGCTGTTCAGTAACTTGCAACCAATTGAAATCATGTCTGCACTTCTTGCTGCCATGACACATGACCTTGATCATCCAGGTGTGAATCAGGTGTTCCTTATCACCTGTAAACATCACCTAGCATCATTGTACAAGGTGAGCAATATATCCAAGACATAAATTTTGTCATTAAGGCAGTTCAAAATTAGTTTTTATTCAGCATTGAGCAGTGGCCATGATAGAGATTCTCCAACAAGGTGTCAAAGTTCGCTGCCGAGGAATCCCCTACAGGTGGTTGAAATACTTCTCAGTCCCAACTCTATACTGTATGCCCAAAAACAGCACTCAGACTGTAAAAATAATTTTCAAAGCAGTGTTCTCCGTAGGAATGATCAGCTTCTTCCCCAGTGAGGTGTCCATAGTCCCCCATGTAATTGTTATAAGAATGTGAAAACACATTTCCATCCCTAATAACTGATGCATAAATTTTAGCTTTTAGCAATATTTTTGGCATAGTTTCATAAATTGGCTCGTAGTCAATTAAGTTTTTTTTTTGTAGTAAAATGTCTGTAAATCAATCAATACAAAACTACTATTGTCAATGTTAATACAAGAATGACTGATTGGTTGCACCAGGAAAAACAAACCATCTAAGCTGAGTGATAGAACATTCATAATTTTACTACAAATAAAATGCAGTCAAGAAGTCTCCACAAATATTTTTATTTACTTTGGAGCTACATAATAATGAGATAAGCACTGGATTTTTAATATTGTGTTTAATGATTTTTTTATTTTTTTTTCTCTCTCTACTTAGCAAAATTCAGTACTGGAGAATCATCATTTTCGGGCAGCAATATCTCTGATACGAGAATGTGGAGTGTTTAACCATTTACCAAAATCAGAATGGTAAGTTTTTGATATCAGTATCTTCGTCGGTACCAGACTTGTGGCCCTTATTCACTGCGCCTGATGGTCGTCGGCCGACACATTCCTATGAAGAGTGCAACGCGAGGACGCACACGCAATGGATCGTTTTTAATGATGATCTGTTCAGTCTGCCGCCGTCAATCAGCAGACAGCGTCACATGGTCTAGCGCATGCAGGGAGCGGAATTGGATTTGTCATGCGACTGCCATACGACACAGCGAGTGCTTGGCTTTAATGAATAATGATATCTAAGATGTGCACGTTTCTACTAAAATGAAATATTGGAGGCGTTTTTGCTTCGCCAACTTTTTACATGTGCCTAAACAATAATAAAATAATTTACATTGCTTATATGCTGAATTGATTTTAAAAGTAATTACAATCCCCATATTAATACTGAAATAATTGATTAAATTATTTACATTAATTGTTAATAATACTAAGATTATTTAAAGTGTTTATAAATTGAATAAGGACTACATTCTACTAAATTTTGTCATTGTGTAGTCATGAATATCATAGTGTGTTGGAATATCTCCATTATTTATTAAATTATTTCTGTTGCATTCGCTGTTATGTTGGAATCATGCGAGCCAAGCTACTGTATATTGACAAATGCATTGAAATTGTTGTATTACCTGAGACATTTTAGATTTACGTCGGGAATCGGCTGAGATGTACTACGTTGCAACAAACTCTTTCTCCAAGCTCGTTTGATTGCTCGGCCGTAAAATCACAAGCTGTACGCCCATCAAATATGCTTCTAATTCCCATCGTTGCAATATAACAAGCTAGCAATGTTAAAACAAATACCTGGATATCAATCGATTTTTAAGTATAATAAATCTTAATGACAAGCTAGCTTCGCTTACACCAACATTACTGTTTGGCACATTTATATTAACAGAAAATTCTCAATAAAAAACACAAAGATCTACATTTATTTTCCATCTACATGTAATAATAATGATAATTATAATTAAGGTTTGAATAGTTGATGTATATAAAATCCTCTTAGTTTTATTTATATTAAACCATGAAATAAAAAGTTCTTTATAGTACAGTTTTAAAGAAACAAGTGTATGAAGCAAGAGATAATATTAGTTTAACATCTAAGTGTTTAATCTCAGTGTTGTTAATGCATTGACTGCCATAGTGCAAATTTATTCTCATTAAAAGCTTATCCAAGTAAAAATTATGACTAGAAAACTTTATATCTTCTACCGACCTGCAGGCGAGTGCGAAAGGTTACAATACAAAAGATTTACGGTGTCTATGCCAACAGATGATGCATAGAATAGTAGGAGAAACAGCCTGTAACACTAATATATTTTTGTATTCAACATGTTATTTGTGTTTTAATCTCAGTATTCTTATTATCAAAACATTACCTGATTACTGGTTGGATTTGATTATAATATATCATGCCTGTAGACTGTTTTATATTTTTCATCTATTTTCCAAGGAATAATATTAAGAGGTTAATCCGTGAACTCATCCTGGCCACAGACATTGCACGACAGGCAGAATTTCTCAAAAAGTTTGAGGTAAGATGTAGATACAACCAGAGTCAGAATATTAATTCCTCTCCCCCAAAATGCTTTTATTTATGACTATTGAAGTACTCACCAATTACAAGATGAAAATGTGTTGCTGTATAAATTAAAGCTGCATTCAGATTGTTTGTTTTTTGTTTTGTTTTTTGTTTAATAGTATTACATACCTGGTCATGTTGACCTAAAGAATCCAGTGTGTAGAGCCTGTATTCATTATACACACAATGCTGGAGGTTCAAAGTGTAATGATATGTTTAATGAGATGTTTAACACATCTGAATGCCATAGCCAGCTGATTTTAGAGATTATTACAGTAGTAAAAACATGCAGACGTCATCAGTTTGTAGGAGTGAGTTAGTTTCCGTGAGATTGTTGCTTGTTTGTGTGAGACCATGCCGACTTCCGGGAAGCTACCATGAGGAACTTTGAACTCCGGAATAGTAACGCATTTGAATGGCAAAATTGGCATGAGCATCCTACCACCAATTCATAGCTCCACTCTTACAATAATTTTTCAGATTCAAAAACAGGCTTTCACACCTTAAAACACCTCTTGTCATCTAGAAGCTTTATTTATTTATTTACTGTTTGGTTTATTTATTTATTAAGTCACATATACATACAAAATAAACATTTGAATAGGCAGAAAAAAAAAATTCTGAAATTTATGCTAATTTACAAAAGGCAAACATGGCAAAATGAGTTTTTTTTTTTTGTTTTTTTTAATATAATAAGAAATAATATAAGAAATTGCAGTAAAAACAGAATTTATAAATTATACTGCTTCTGTAGGCCACTTGCCTTTTTAATTAATATTGGTGAGTTTTGTTTACTAATCATCAACCACCTAAGATACTGATGATTGATTCAAGTAATTGATTGAGATGCAATAAATTTCCCATTTGTGAGTTCTTCAAGTGATTGATTGTTTTAGCACAGTTGGAGCTCTCTACAATTTAATTGCCGGTGTTTATTTTTAGCAGTGAAATACGATGTGATTTAATTTATTATCATAGTGTTATTATCAGTATTATTAATAGATTAACTATACTATTTGATTGGTATGCTCAACATGTCAAACCCTATCAGAAATCTCAGCATTTTAAGAGGATATAGACTAATATTGGATCCATGATATGGGGCACATATTCCCTGTCCTAACTGGGAAAAAAATCAGATTCTTTTTACTGAATTTCTACAGGTCCTAACCCTTGTGGCTTTACCTTTATTCAAACAAATGTTGAGACTCTTTCTTTATTTACACACCAATAGTATGATATTATCAATTTGTCCATCTTAATAAACAGAAATGTAATTATCCCTTAGAGCATTAATATTTACAAAATATGTATTGAAATTACAAATTTGAAATTAAGCTACTGTGGTAACCAATAGATTTGCATCAATTGAGATGTGAACAAATGACTAGATATAAGGTATGAGAGTTACAGATGCAAATTGGTGTTGGTGGTTAGGGTGCCTGCCTCACAATTTTATAGTAATAACTTTAAATGCTTTTAAACATTTTTCTCAAGACTAAGTACAATAAAACTCAACTCGATATACATTGTAATGAGACTTTATTATAGATGGAGTTGAATTGCTCAGTGCTTCAGATGCTTGCCTTCTGATCCCAGGATCCTGGGTTCAATTCCTGTCACAACATGACTTTTTCTCACGACTAAAATCAACTCCGCTCCCTAAGCCTTATAAAGGGACTTAGTTTATAAAGCATCATTCTCATCCTGTAAGTGTTGAGTGTACTTGCTGTTGAATGTAAGGGAAATAAAAAAATAAATAAAATCACATCTATCCCATAAAGTGGAATAGTCACTCATTGCTGTTCAATGAAAGTGGAAGACAAATGATTTTAAAAATATGATTAAACACAAACGAAATACAACCTCAAAATCAAGAATTTTATTTTCTCCGCAGGAACATCTCAATCAAAAGACACTGCATATGGAAGCAAATTCCAGCCACCGTCTGTTCGTTTTACAAGTGAGTTTAAAATGTCTAGCATGATGACAAAAGTAGGCTTTATCAATTACAAATGTTTTCCTCATAGGGGCGACAGATGCACCTTGTTCTATATGATTGAAGATCATTTATTGTAACTGGCTATGTATTAGAAATGACATGTATGTAAATAAAATGGGTTTTTTTTTCTCGCATAAGTACAATTGACATTTTTTTTAAAATCATGGTTAATAATCCTAATAATTAAGATGATAATAATACTGTATTGTAATTATGACAATAATGATGATAAAGTGAATAATAATGATTTAAAGTTGTGATAATATTATGGTATTGATAATGATAATATCAATAATAATAATGTTAATGATAATAATAATGTGTTTAATAATATTGTATATACACACCATTTTTACATCCATCCTGTTTTTGGTATTTATATATTCTTTCCTACTTTTTTATTTCATAAGATTGCTCTAAAATGTGCAGATATTTGCAATCCATGTCGAAAATGGGAAGTTAGTAGTCGATGGAGTAGGATGATTGTGAGGGAATTTTTTGGACAAGGTAAGTTATTTTATCAAAATATGCAAATGCGCATGCGTCAAAGAAAAGTTTTCCGACATTTTATTTTACCTCGCGATGCGAAGTTCGATGTGAAGTTCGATGTGAAGTTTCTGCAGAGTTCAGTCAGGGCTCACGCTAACCGATCGGCAAGTCGGCAGGGATGAAACTATTTTGGTTTTACGGCAAAAAAAATCAACTGCTGTGGCATAGGTATTTTGAAGAAGGCCTAAAATAAAACAAAAAGGTTTTAATACTTGCTGAAATACATCGTTTTTTCATTTAGATC